TAATGAGGGTGTCCAGTTTGTCTTTCTTTCGTGTTATTGATGTTGTTGTTGTTGTTGTTGATTTGGTGTTGTTGATGTTGTTGTTGTTGTTGTTTCTGTTGTTATTGCAGCTGTTTTTGCTTTTGTTGATGTTGTTATTATTATTTTTGTTGTTGATGTTGTTGTTGTTGTTGTTGATGTTGTTGTTGCTGTTACTGTTTTGTAATGGATTTCATCATAAGGGTCACCATGAATGATGTCAGATAGGGTGTGGTGATAGATACATACATACATATAGGCATAGATACTCATACATACATGCATGCATACATACGTTCACACGTATATATAGACATACATATATACGTACACATACATTGAAAAAGAGTGGGGGGAGAGCGAGTCGGGGAGGGAGAGAGACAGGGTGAGAGAGAGAGAGAGAGAGAGAGAGAGAGAGAGAGAGAGAGAGAGAGAGAGAGAGAGAGAGAGAGAGAGACAGAGACAGAGACAGAGACAGAGACAGAGACAGAGGCAAACAGAGATAAAGAGAGAGACAGACAGACAGACAGACATACAGACAGACACACATAACCCCCCAAAAAAGGTAACGGAAGGAACTTAAGGACGAGAATCCCATTTAATTAAGCCCTCCGTTCGCCTCAATGGCTGAAGAGGCAGAGAAGAGCCCGGCGCATTGTCAAGATAGAGTTAAAAGGAGAGAGGACCTTTTCAGCTGCAATAATCTGTGTTTACTGTGAATAATATTCTTCCTGCTGCACTCGAGCCTCGTGCAATGTGTTGCATTGTTGACATTCATTTTCTGGGGATTACGACTGGCTGGGAAACAAAATATCAACATGTCATATATGATAGGTATGGATGCCGGTGTGTGATTATTTTTTTCTTTTCTTTCTTTTTCTCTCTTTCTTTCTTGTTTTCTGTCTTGTTTTCTTTCTTTCTCTCTCTTCTCTTCTCGACATTACTCTGCTCGGCTCTGTTCTGCTCTCTCTCTCTCTCTCTCTCTCTCTCTCATCTCTCTCTCTCTCTCTCTCACTCTCTCTCTCTCTCTCTCTCTCTCTCTCTCTCTCTCTCTCTCTCTCTCTCTCTCTCTCTTCTTTTCTCTCTTCTTTTCTCTTCTTCTCTCTTCTCTCTCTCTCTCTCTTCGCATCTTCTCTCTCTCTCTCTCTCCTCTCTCTGTCTCTTCTCTCTCTCTCAATTTTTTTTTTCTTCTTCTTTTTCTGTTTCTCTTCTTCTTTCGTTTCTCCCCGCTTTTCTCTTTCCCTCTTCTTTTTCTTCTCTAGTATCTTTTCTCTCTAGAGAGGGAGGAGAGGAGAGGAGTAGAATCGATAGAGAGAGAGAGAAAGAGATAGATAGAGATAGATAGATAGATAGAAAAAGAAAGAGAGCGACACTGCATTACAAATACTATCTATATACAATCCCAGGGTCTGTGCGCCAACTGTGAATAAAACAACACGAATTTGAGATACATCTAACTATACATATAACTACCAATAATGTAAACTGTTCGTATGACTCTTCAGCACCAACCTTTCCACATTTTCAGACTCCAAATTTGGAAGCCGCAGTGACTCCAACAAGTCATTTTCCACCAGTTCTTCCCGTTTTATCATAATGCGTTAGTTAATTATTTTTTCTCTCGATAATATATTGAATGCCATTCGTATAATGGGCAGTATTTTTTGGCTGAGAGCAGAGGTTGCCAATAGGAGATGAATATCGCGAGGATGAGGTATTGAAGGGATACGCGACATATTCATAATATGTAATGCACATACATACATATATATGTGTGTGTGTGTGTAGTCTATGTTTGTGTGTGGTGTGGTGTGTGTGTGTGTTAGTGTGGTGTGTCTGATGTGTGTGTGTGTGTGGTGTGTGTGTGTGTGTGTGTGGTGTGTGTGTGTGTGTGTGTGTGTGTGTGTGTGTGTTGCGTGTGTGTGTGTGGTGTGTGGTATGCGCCATATATATATATATATATGTGTATATTATAATATATATATATATATATATAATATATATATTAATACATATTATATACATATATATATACATATATATCAGCACTTATTATATTAATCTTATTATAGTATATATATATATTATATATGCATATGAATATTTCATTTTTCTTCTTTCATTTTCTTTCCGTTTATCTGTCTTTCATTATCTAATACTACAAATAGTAATTAACAGAAATAAATACCAAAAGATATAAAACACGTTTCAGATCACTGTCTATGGAAGTGCGAACTTCCCCCCCCTTTTTAATGTTTTCCCTTTTTCCTTATTTTCCTTTTTTCCTGTTTTTCCTTTTTTTCTTTTTTCCTATTTTCATTTCCTTTTTTCTTTTTTTTTCATTGTTTTCCTTTTTCCCTTTTTCCTTAATTTCCTTTTTTCTTTACTCTTTTTTTCCTTTTTCCCCTTTTCCCTTTTTCCTATTTTTCTTTTTTCCTTTATTCCTTTTCCCATTTGTTCCCCCTTTTTTCCCATTTCCCTTTTTTTCCTTTTTTTTACCTCTTTTTACCCATTTTCCCCTACATGTCCTTCCACTTCCTGGCTTCGGTCGTCAACCAAATGCCCGACAAGGAAATAACCGAAGAAGGTCACTAGCTTGTTACTTTTATGACCTCGTCTCGTTCCCTCGGCCAAAAACTACGTACAGATAACTACCTCGTTCGCTTGTTTATTTCGTGTCTGTCTGTCTATCGATTTGTCTATCTATCGATCTCTCTGTCTCACTCTTTCTTCATTTTTTTTTACTCTATATATATCTTTCTTTCTCTTTCTTTCGTTCTTTCTTTCTTTCTTTCTTTTCTTTCTTTTTCTTTCTTTCTTTCTTTCTCTTTCTTTCTCTTCTCTCTTTCCTCTCTCTCTCTCTCTCTCTCTCTCTCTCTCTCTCTCTCTCTCTCTCTCCTCTCTCTCTCTCATCTCTCTCTCTCTCTCTCTCTCTCTTCTCCTCTCCTCTCTCTTCTCTCCACCTTCTCCACTTCTCTTCCTATGCTCTCTTCTCTTCTCCCCCTCTCCCTCTTCCTATCTTATGAATATTAACCTTTTCATTTATGAAACGTGAAAGATGAACAAAAAGAAGAGGGAGTGGGAGATAGAAAGACAGGCAGAGAGAGAATGAAAGGTAGATAGAAATATAGATATATAGATACAGATACAGGTATATAGATAGATAGATAGATAGAGAGAGAGAGAGAGAGAGAGAGAGAGAGAGAGAGAGAAGGAGAGAGAGGAGAGAGAAGAAAGAAAGAGAGAGAAGAGAGAGAGAGAGAAAAGAAAGAGAGAGAGAGAGAAAGAGAAAAAAGAAAAAAAGAAAGAAAGAGAGAGAGACAAAGAAACAGACAAACAAACAAAAACAAACAAACAACACAACAACGAACGAATAAAACACAGAGAACGTAACCAAACGCGAATATCAAGAACGAAAAATAAGAGAATCGCAGACAAAACCGAATGAAAAGGACTAAAACGCGAGACACGAGTTCCTGTCTGCCTTTCCTGAATCGCTGCCGCCGGCCAGATGAATTTCTTGAATGAATTATTGACATTCACTTGGCGGCCTCGCGTTTTGCTTGGCCTTGAGTATTGACAACGTGTAATGTTGTTAACGGTTTTTTTTTTTTTTTCTTTTTTCTTCTTTTCATTTTCATTTGTTTTTGTTTTTTTCTTTCTTTCTTTCTTTCTTGATCATTTATTTTAATTCTTTCTTTTTCTTTCTTTATCCTTTATTTTTCTTCTTTCTTTTCTTTCTTTTCCTTTCTTTATCATTTATTTTTCTTTCTTTTTTTCTTTATCATTTATTTTTCTTATTTCTTCTTCTTTTTCTTTAACATTTATTTTTCTTCTTTCTTTTTTTTCTTTATCATTTATTTTTTTTTTTCTTTATCATTTTATTTTTCTTCTTTCTTTTTCTTTCTTTATCATTTATTTTTCTTCTTTCTTTTCCACTGCCATTTGTTCTTCTTCTTTCTGTGCTGTTTTTTGCTCTTTCCTTGTTCTTATTCTATTTTTAACTTTCTCTCTCTTTTATCTTTATTTTTATTTTCTTTCTTTTTTCTTTTTTCTCTATTTTCTCTCTCTACTTTTTTTCATTTTTTCCTGTTCTTTCCTTCTCTTTTTTCGTCTAATTCTTCCTTTTCTTCTTCCTTATTTCCTCCTCTTCCTTCTTTTCTCTCTTCTTCCCATCCTTTCTCATTTCACCTTTTTCTCTCTCTTTTGCCTTATTCTCTCTTCCCTCCTTCTGCCACCTTCCTCATCTCTCTCCTTTACCCCATTCTTCTCTTCCCCCTCCTCTTTCTTCTTTTATCCTCATTCTCTCTGTCCTCATTTACTTCTTCTCTTCTCCCTTCTCTATTTCCTACTTTCTTCCACATTCTCTCTATCATCATTTACTTCTTCTCTTCTCTCTCCTCTTTCTCCTTCTTTTATCCTCATTCTCCTTATCCTCATTTTCTTTTCTTCTCCCTTCTCTATTTCCTACTTTCTTCCTCATTCTCTCTATCATCATTTACTTCTTCTCTTCTCCCTCCTCTTTCTCCTTCTTTTATCCTCATTCTCCTTATCCTCATTTTCTTCTCTTCTCCCTTCTCTATTTCCCACTTTCTTCCTCATTCTCTCTATTCTCAATTACTTCTTCTCTTCTCCCTCCTCTTTCTCCTTCTTTTATCATCATTCTCTCTATCCTCATTTACTTCTTCTCTTCTCCCTTCTCTTTCTCCTTCTTTTATCCTCATTCTCTCAATCCTCATTTACTTCTTCTCTTCTCCCTTCTCTTTCTCCTTCTTTCATCCCCATTCTCTCAATCCTCACTTACTTCTCTTCTCCCTTCTCTATTTCATACTTTCTTCCTCATTCTCTCTATTATCCCCTCTCTATTTCCTACTTTCTTCCCCATTCTCTCAATCCTCATTTACGTCTTCGTCTTCCTATTCACTTCAACCAATCGTGTTTTCCATCAACGAATCAGAAGGAAAAAAAATTCTTATCTTCACTTAAGTGTTTCCTGCGAGATGTTCTAAGCGGTTAATGGGGTCGGAATAACACTTGGTTAATTAAGAAGCTCGAGAGAGAGAGAGAGAGAGAGAGGGAGAGAGGGAGGGAGAGGAGGAGGGAGGAGGGAAGGAGGGAGGGAGGGAGAGAGGGAGGAAGGAGGGAGGGAGGGAGGGAGGGAGAGAGAGAGGGGGGGAGAGAGAGATAAAGGGAGGTAGGGCGGGATACAGTGAGAGGAAGAGAAAGAGAGGGGGCAGGGAGGGAGGGAGGAACTAAAAGTGAAGGAAGAAAGGGGGTAAGAAGAAATGGTGAGAGACAGAGTGGAAGAGGGAGAGTGTGGTAGGAAGGAAGGTAGAGAGAATGGAGCGGGAGAAAAGGAGGGAGAGAGAAGGGATAGGGAGAAAGGGGGAGAGAGGGAGAAGATAGACGGGAGAATAAGGAAGTGAGAAATGCAGGAAGAAAGAGAGAGAGGAGGGAGGGATAAGAGGAGAAATAGGGAGAGAGGGAGAGAGAGAGAGAGAGAGAGAGAGAGAGAGAGAGAGAGAGAGAGAGAGAGAGAGAGAGAGAGAGAGAGAGAGAAGAGAGAGAGGAGAGGAGAGAGAGAGAGAGAAAGAGAGAGAGAGAGAGAGACCGAAGATCTGCAGATAAAAGAAAATAAATAAACAAAAAGAGAGACAGAGGAACGGAGAAAAAAAAAACAGAAACAAAGGATGCAATAAAGAGACGGAGATAACTGCATCAAAAGTAACTTAAAAAGGCACTTACCTCCTTTCTTACCAAACCTATTGTTCAAGACAGTCACTTAGAGTAGATGAAACGACGGAAAAAATCATCTCAAGAGTATTTAGTTAAAACGAAATTCGGTTCCTTTCAATTTTCGTATTTCAGAATAACGAAATTCTATCGTAATTTTATCTGTCCATTACAATTATTTTTCTTTTATTTCCTTTCATGTGTTTAAGATTACTCTGTTAATACGAGCTACTGATGGGAAAATTATAGACAGAATAGGGGAAGGGAGAGAGACAGAGAGAAGGAAAGGCGTAGATAGATAGATAGATAGATAGATAGATAGAGAGAGAGAGAAAGAGAGAGAGAGAGAGAGAGAGAGAGAGAGAGAGAGAAGGAGGGCAGAGAAACAAACAGACAAAAAGACAGAAAAGAAAAGAAAGTGAAAGAGAGACAGACAATTCGAGACACAAAAAGAGAGCAAGACCCCCACTCCCACCCAACTCCCCCATCCAACCCCACTCCTCTCCATCCTCCCACTCCCCCCTCCATCCTAACCCCCCTACTCTGCCCCACTCCAACCCCACCCACTCCACTCCAACCCCCCAACCCCCTCTTCCCACTCCACACTTCCACTCCATCCTCCCACCTCCTCCAACTCCCTCCTTCCCCTCCCCCCCTCCCCCTCCACCCCCCCTCCCCCATAAACCACCCAAAAAAGAAAAAAAAGAAAGCCATACTCACGGTACACTTTGATGGCTCCGTCCGTTTCCCCGAGAGAGTTCTTCGCGATGCACTTGAAGGTTCCGTAATCTTCAGGTTCCACGCGACGAATCCTCAGCTCCATGTACACTACACTTTGTAGGTTCCCTCCGTCACGATGGTTCGAAGCGTTCCCCTGGGGGAGGGAGGAGAGGAGGGTAGGGGAGGGAGGGAGGAGGGAGGGAGGGAGGGAGGAGGGAGGAGGGAGAGAGAGAAGACAGACAGACAGAAAAAGAGAGAGGAGAGACAGAGAAAGAGAAGAGAGGAGGAGGAAGGAGAGAGAGAGGACAGAACAGACAGAAAAGAGAGAGGGAGAGAGACAGAGAAAGAGAGAGGGAGGAGGGAGGGAGGGAGAGAGACAGACAGAAGACAGAGGAGAGAGGAGACAGAGAAAGACAGACAGACAGAGAAGAGAGACAGAGAGAGAGACAGACAGACAGAGAGAGAACAGACAGACAGAAAAGAGAGACAGAGAGAGACAGACAGACAGAAACAAGAAGAAGAGACAGACAGACAAAGAGAGAGAGAGACAGACAATACAAAAGAGAGAGAGAGAAAAGGGGGGGGTCAAGATTAATTAAAATGATTAGTTATATAGTTATAAAAGATGAGTTGGATAACATGGATTGGAGTGTATGGTAGTTGTGTGGATTGGTTAGTAAATTAATTGGTATATTGATTGGTTGATCGACTAGTAAATTGATTGCTAGATTGATAGATAGACGAATTGATTGCTTAACTGGTAGATAGATAGATAGATAGATGGACTGATTGGTAAATATAGATAAAATCGATAGATGTGTGTGTGTGTGTGTGAGTGTGTGTGTGTGTGTGTGTGTGTGTGTGTGTGTGTGGTTGTGTGTGGTGTGTGTGTGGTGTGTGTGTGTGTGTGTGTGTGTGTGTTGTGTGTGGTGTGCATATGTACGATTCAGGCACAGTGAGATAGTGTAATTTATGTACCTGAAGCAGAATTACTCAATTAATACTGAAAATTCGCACTGACACAAAACCATACATCTCTATCCATCAAAGAATATCTCATCACATACTCTTCCTCACACACATAACCATTCACCACACACACGCCCATGCCACGCCCGCACCTACACCGCCCACCGTTTTTTTTTTTTTTTTTTTTTTTTTTTACTCTTTAAATCCACCGTTTCTCTTCTTCTTCTTCTTCTTCTTCTTCTTTCTTTTTTTTTTTACTCTTAAATCCACCGTTTTTTTTTTTTTTTTTTTTTTTTTTTTTTTTTTTTTTTTTTTTTTTTTTTTTTACTCTTTAAGTCCTGATGTTACAAAGATGTTCGTTTCTCGGTCTTCGATTCTTGGCTCTCGGTTCACGGTCCTCGGTCAATTTTCGGTCATCGTTCCTCGTATTATCGCTCTTCGGTCTTCGGTTCTCAATTCTCGGTCATCAATTCTCAGTCGCGGGTTCTCAGGTCGTCGATCCTCAGTCCTCGGTCATCAATTTTCGGTCCTCGGTCCACGGTCTTCGATCCTCGATCCTCAATTCTCTTTCTTTAGTCCTTGGTACTCAGTCCTCGTTCCTCATTCCTCGATCCTCAATTCTCGATCATGAGTCCTCGTTCCTCAGTCCTCGGTCCTCGGTCCTCGGTCTTCAGTCCTCGATCCTCAGTCCTTGATCCTCAGTCCTCGATCCTCGTTCCTCGGTCTTCAGTCCTCGATCCTCAATTCTCGAACATGAGTCCTCGGTCCTCAGTCCACGGTCCTCGTTCCTCGGTACTCGGTCTTCAGTCCTCGACCCTCATTCCTCGGTCCTCAATTCTCGATCATGACTCCTTGATAAGTCCTCGTTCCTCGGTCCTCGGTCATCGCCCCGATATCCTCAGCCCCATCAGCTCGCCCATCAGAAGACGACTCTCGGGGGACGACTCAGTGCCGGCGGCCGATTGTTCAATGTTCAGGGGGGCAGTTTGCTTGGCTGCGCTTCGGGGGGGGGGTGGGGGGGTGAAGTTCTGACGATGGGGGAGGGTGTGGAACCTGGGGAAGGAGAGGTGAATGGTCCTGGGGAAGGAGGAGGGGGGGGAGGTTCTGGAGAAGGGGAGAGGGAGAGGGGGGTGGAAGGTCTGGGGAGACGGGGGGAGAGGGAATGGAGGGTGAAGTCATGCGGAAGGGGAGGGGGAGTGGGGGGAAGGTCCTAAAGAAGGGGGAGGAAGGGGAAGGGTGAAGGTCTTGGGAAGGAGGATGGGGGGGAGGTCTGGAGAGGGGAGGGGGAAGGGGTTGGAAGGTCCTGGGGAGACTACGGGGGAGGGGGAAGGGAAGGGCGTGGGTGGGGGTGGAGGAAGGGAAGGGGAAGGGAGGGAAGGGGAAGGGGTGGAAGTCCTTCGGAGGGGAAGGGAGGAGGGTGAAGGTCCTGGGAAGGAAAGGAGGAGAGGGGGTAATGGTGGGTGTCACGGGATCGGTTTGGGTCAGTTTGGTACTGTTGTGTGTGTGAGAGAGAGGGAGAGGAAGAGGAGGAGAGAAAAAAGATAGGGAAGGGAGGAGGGGAAAAGAAGATTGAGAAGGAGGGAGAGGAGGGAGGGAAGGAAGAGAGAGAGGAGAGAGGAGAGATGGAGGGAGGATGGGAGAGGGAGACAGATAGAGAAAGAGGGAGGGGAAGAGAGATCAACAGAGTGTGTGTGTGAAATGTGTTTTTGTTTGTAGTTATTTTCCCTATGTTCTTATGTTTCTTCTTTTATTTCTTCTACTTCTTCTCCTTTTCCTCCTTTATCTTTTCCTTTTCCTTCTTTTTCTTCTCCATCATCCTCTTCTTATGCGACTCAATAACCATGTTTTTCCTTAATGGTATGTGGTTCGTAAATACAACACCTCAGACGCAGTGTACACATATGCAAAACACACACACACACGCACGTACACACACCAATATTCTTTATTTATTTTTCTCTCCCTCCTCTTTCTTTCTTTTTCCTTCATATAACAAATCTCTCTCTTTCTCTTCTCTCTCTCTCTCTCTCTCTCTCCTCTCTCTCTCTCTCTCTCTCTCTTATCTATCTATCTCTCTCTCTCTCTCTCTCTCTCTCTCTCTCTCTCTCTCCTCTCTCTCCTCTCTCTCTCTCTTCTCTCCTTTCACTAACTCACTCATTCACTCAATCAATCACTCACTCTCCCCTCTCCCTCCTTCCCTCTTTCCTCCCTCCCCTCCCCCTCCCTCCCTCACTCACTCTCTCTTTCTCTCTTTTCTTCCTATCTTTCCTTCTTTCTTTTTTTTCATAAAGACACATCAACAAAAACCCGACCAACGGCCCTGAACCCCGACGTCCATCTCACCTGCCACGATCATATCTCCCTTCGTGTTGGTCCAATAGTTGATACTCTTCGGGAATGCCTCGGTGTGGCACTCAATGGTCAGCTCCTGGCCGACGTAGGCACCTTCCAGCTGCTGTGGCACCCACGCGACCGGGGGGACTGGAGGGAGGGGGGAGGAAAGGGAGATGGAGTTTCTATTAGTGTGAAAAGTATTTGTTTTAAATAGGTGTGTGGGTGTGTTGGATTCGATCTGTGTATGTGTGTGGGATCTTATACGTGTTAAGGGGGTCTGATTTAGCATTGTGTGTGGTTGTATTAGATTCAAGGTGCGTATAAATAGGACTTAATAAACATATAGATTTGCTTAATCGAACAGGAATATTCAACAGCTGGCTAGTATGTATATAAATAAATATAAAGCTTTATAAAGGAATTCATTTTAGTGTTAAGCCATACACATGACATATGAAGAGTTGGAAAAATAAGTATATGATATAACGTGCATTATATATAATATATATATATATATATATATATATATAAATATAATATATATAATATATATATATATATATATATATATAATAATATATTATATATACATATTATATATAATATATATATATATATATATATATTATTATATATATATATAAGATATGAAGACGAAGATAACATGATATAATTCCTTAATGTAGGGACATTCTTTTGGGTTGGTACATGTGGAAAAAATTGAAAATATGCAATGAAATATAAATAGTTTGCAACTGATATTTGTATGAGAATTTACAAGCTCCATATATTAAGATCAGAAATTCCTTATTATACTAAATATACTAAATCATTGCATTTTCATTATCTAAATTTAAAGGTTCTTGTTACTTCTTCCAGAAATTAGTAAAAGAAATAAGCCTAGGAAATGATACATAAGTTTTCATGTTTAATGTTTCTGATAAATAAATCATTACTTACTTTATATGACAGAAACAAAAATAAACAGAAAGGAGACTAAAACAGAATTTAGAAGAGAAAAAACAGACAATAGAAATAACTCAAACAAAAAGAAAAAAAATGAAGAAAAAAAGAAATCATTAAAAAAAGGAAAAAAAGACAGAAAAAAATAAACAAAATCAGAACAGGAGAAAAGAAAGAAACTAAGACTGAAAAAATAAGAAATGAAAAAAAAAGAAAACAGACCCCCCAAAAAAAGTCAATCCCAAAAAACGGAAAATTACCCCCCCCCCCCCAAAAAAATAGATAAATAAATAAAATAAATTAATAAATAAGAATAACAATAACAATAACAACAACAACAACAACAATAATAATAATAAAATAATAATTAAAAAAAAAAAACGTCCGCCAAGCCACTCACACTGGACCCCTGAGGTGCGTCCTCTTGCTGATGGAGGGGGGGGGAATAGAACAAAATCATTTCAAAAAATACCAAAAATAAAAAAAAAACTGAAAAAGATATAAAAAAACAGAAGAAAACGGATCCAAACCCACATAGAACCCCACCCCCCCACCACCCCCAAAAAATAATAATAATAATGATGAACAATAGATAAAAAACAATAGGTTAAAAAATACCATAAATAACCAATAATAATCATAAAATAAATAAATAAAAGACGTCCGCCAAGCCCACTCACACTGACCCTGAGGTGCGTCCTCTTGCTGAGGAGGGGGATCCCGTTGGAGGCGATGCACAGGTAGGACCCCATCTGCAGCCGCGACCTTCTTCATGGTGAGAGTCTCGCCCTCCACCACGCTAGCTGCGCCCACCACGCCGTCCACCAGCCCGTCACGGCCGCCCACGGGAAGCGCCGCGCCGCCCATCGCACCCATGTCAGTAGCATCGAGGGACAGGACAGGACGTTGATGAATGACAGTTTTGGGGGGAGGGTGTTGGGTGGAGGGGTGGGGGTTGGGTAGGGGTGGGAGGGTTGGGAATGGGAGAGGAGCCGTGGGGAGGGGAAGGGGGAGGGGGTTGAGGAAGTGGGTGGGGTGGGGGTGGAGGGAGGGGTTTGTGGGTTGGGGGGTGGGGGTGGGGTTTGAGGGAGGGTGGGGGATGGGGTTTGAGGGAGGGTGGGTGGGTGAGGAGGCTGGGGAGGGGGGAAGGGTTGGGGTTGGGGTTGGGGGAGGTTTGAGGAGGTGGTGGGGGGGGGAATGGGGATGGCTTGGTGATTATGGGGGGGGGGTTAAGTAGGAGTATTGGATTGGGGTTGGACGAAATACTGAGACATATGTTACGTATATAAAAGTATTTATGCATACGCCACACATACATATTTAATCACAGGCATATTCTCTCTCCTCTCTCGTCTCCTCTCTCTCTCCTCCCTCTCTCTGCTCTCTCTCTCTCCTCTCTCTCTCTCTCTCTCTCTCTCTCTCTCTCTCTCTCCCTCTCTCTCTCTCTCTCTCTCTCTCTCACTTCCCTCCCTCCCTCCCTCCCTCCTTTCCCCTCCCTCCCTCCACTCCCTCCTTCCCTTCCCCTCTCCCTCCTCCCCTCCCCCCTCACACACATACACACCCATACATACACACAACACCCCACACACATATTTACCCATCCCTTCCATACACACACACCTACACACCTTTCTCCCAAGACTCACCCCGCCACACACTACCTCCCATACCACACCACACACACACACACACACACACACACACACACACACACACACACACACACACACACACACACACCCACCTTCCTCCCCAGATCACCCCCTCCACTACTACCTCCCATTACACACACACAACACACACACACACACACCTTCCTCCCAAGACTCAACCCCACACACTAACCTCCCCCCCCCCCACACACACACACCTTACACCCCAAGACTCACCCCCTACACACTACCTCCCATACACACACCACACACACCCGTCCTCTCAAGACTCACCCCCCCCCCACACACACACACACCTTGTCCTTGATGAACCACACTCCAGGACTACTGCTCTTGGCTCACCTGTCTTCTCGGCGTCCAAGACGATCTTCTGGTTGTCCTCTCTCCTCCAGACGATGTTCGGCGTCGGGTGACCTTTGGCACGACAGGTCAGGTTCACGTCTTGACCTTCACGGACGGTCAGGTCACCGGAGGACTCGCGGTCAATGATGTCGGGGGGTACTGGTGGAGGAGAGAAGAGGGAGAGTTGAGAATTGAGGGAGATGAATTAAGGGAGAACTAAGAATTAAGGAAAATTAAGAGAGAATTAAAAGAAAATTAAGAATAAAGGATAATTAAGAATTAAGGATAATTAAGAATTAAAGAGAATTAAGGGAGGATTAAGAATTAAGGATAATTAAGAATTAAAAAGAGTTAAAGGAGGATTAAGAATTAAGGAGAATTAAGAATTAAGGACAATTAAGGGAGTGTTATGATTAAGAAAATTAAGAATTAAGGAGAATTAAGGAGTGTTAAAAGTAAGATGAAGTTAAGGGAAAATTAAGAATTAAGGGAGAAATAAGGAAGAATTAAGAAAAACTAAGAATTAAGGAGAATTAAGAAAAAATGAGAATTAAGGAGAATTAAGGAAAAATTAAGAATTAAGGAGAGAAGTGAGAAATAAGGATTGGGGAAAATTAAGAAGAATTAAGGGGAATTAAGGAAGAATCAAGAATTAAGGAGAATTAAGGGAGAATTAAGAATTAAGGAAAACTAAGGGAGGGAGGGAGAAGGGTGTTGCTGCATCCTATATGTGGTTGGTTGATAGCAACAGCATGCAACCGTAAAATCGTAGCTTCACCCTATATGATTTGTTTGTTATTTTGTCGTGAATTTACGATTTTTCTGTGTGTTTTTTTGTTTTTGTTTTTTTAATGAGAATTATGAAGTTGTTATTCTTAGCTGTTTCATGAATCTGAAGTTTTCTGTTGGTTTATATTTCTGAATTATGAGTTTTTCTTTAATTGTATTATGAACGATTTGTTCCATGTGTTTTAGTTGATATCTCTTGTCTAGGAATTAATATACGTTATGAAAAAAAAATCGTATTTTTTTCTTGAAGATACTGCACGTGCGAATTAAACTACAGTAAACCCTTTCTCGGTTTAGCAATGTCAATTTACACAACGCAGGATGAATCCCCAAAGCAATAGATTCCTTAGCGACTTTCACCACATATGCAACATTGTCAGTATCATGTTACGCGTTGGACTATCAATCTTGCAGACCTGCGTTCAATCCCACGCCCGGCCAGTGAATGGTATCCCCGGCCACTCCTTGCACACAGCGGGAGATTTAGAAGCAAAATAAAACAGACTGTATGTCACAGCGAAGAATATCCATTGTAACAAATGGAATTAAGACTAAATCTTAAATCTTAAGGCTGAATTATTATCAAAATGTCCTTTCGTTGCAGATTCGCTAACCTAACCTAACCTTACCTAAGTTTACACGTCAAAAATATTTCAAAGATTTTAGATATTACTTCCTTCAAGTTAAGAATAATGAACTTAATTCCTTTACTAGGGGGTGTATTTGATGTTAAATGTGGCAATATTAAATGTCAATATATGGCTAATATACGACCACATGAACCATACATGTCATATCACAAGAGACATCAGGAAAATACAAAGAAATGACCTATTGTAGTTGAGGTCAGGCTGTTATGTCATACAGCGGCTAAAAGTAACACTGGCCAGTACTTAGTTCCATGCGTGAACAACAAAAGATACTGTATTTTTTCTTTATTTTTTATTTTTCTTTGTTTATTCTGAAGACATGGAGTATGTTGCAGAAGGGATTGCATTGTCGTATGTTTGCAGAATACTGAGACTGCATTCCTGTCTTTTTGCAAAGCTTTATCATCGTGCTTCTATCTCCGGAGTATCAATATTCCATTGGCATTTATTTGCAAGCCACGGAAACTACGATTTATTTCCAGAAAACTGAGATTGCACGGCTATTTACGTGCAAAACGGTGAGATTGCAGTGGGATGTATTTGCAAAAACACCAAGACTACGTTACTATCTATTTGCAAAACAATGAGAATTATATTGCTACATATTTGCAAAACAGTAAGACCGCATTGTTACCTATTTGCAAAACAATGAAATTATACTGCTTTCTATTTGCAAAATACTGAAACTGCACTGCTTTATATTTGCAAAACAGAGAGATTACATTGCTATTCATCTGCAAAACAGTGAGAATACACCGCCATCACCTCCGCAAAAAAGTGAAATTACACTGCTATTCACCTACAAAAAAAACAGTGAGATTACAATACTATTAATTTGCAAAACCAAACAAAAAAAATAGTGAATTTAGACCACCACCTCTCTACAAAACACAAAACCATCTCTCCCACCTGTCAACCCTCTACAGACAACCAGAGAACCAGAGAACCAAGCAACCAGAGAACCAGAGAACAAGAGAACCAGAGAATCAGAGAACCAGAGAACCAGAAAATCAAGCAACCAGAGAACCAGAGAATCAGAGAACCAGAGAAACAGAGAAACAGAGAACCAGAGAACCAAGCAACCAGAGAGCCAGAGAACCTAGAGAACCAGAGAAACAGAAGAACAGAGAACCAAGCAACCAGAGAACCAAGAAAAGAGAAACCAGAGAACCAGAGAACAAGCAACAGAGAAACAGAGAACCAGAGAGCCAGAGAACCAAGCAACCAGAGAACCAAAGAATCAAAACCAGAGCAAGCAACGAAACAGAGAACCAGAGAGCCAGAGAACCAAGCAACCAGAGAACCAAGCAACCAGAGAACCAGAGAACCGATATCTGGCCCAGCCATTTTGCAGTCTCGCAACTCTAAAGGATTCTGCGATCGCTGCTCCCTTCATCCGTCCTTCCTCCCTCCCTCTCGTTCCCTCGCCTTCTCCTCTTACCTCTTCCCTCTCCCTCCTCTCCTTACCCCTCTCTCCCTCCTCCTCCGTCTCCCTCCCTTCTCCTCCCATTCATCCCTTTCCCTCCCTCCCCTCCCTACCTCTCTCCCTCCCTCTCCCTCCCTCCCTCTCTCCCTCCCTCCCTCACCCTCCCTCCCTCCTCCCCCAATCCCTCTCCCTCCTCCTTCCCTCTCTTCTCCTACCTCCTCCCTCCCTCCCTCCCTCCCCTCTCCCCCTCTCTTCCCTCCTCCCTTACCCTTCTCCCTACCCTCCCTCCCTCCCTTCCTCCCTATCCCTCACCTCCACTCCCTCCTTCCTTCTATCTACTCCCTCCCTTTTCCTCTCTCTCCCATCTCCTTGTCCCTTCCCTTAATTCACCTCCCTTCCTCGTTAATCCTCTCGCCACTCCCTATTCCCCCTTTCTCATCCCTCTCTCCCTATCCTCCCTCTCTCCCTCCCTGCTACGCCTAATCCTCTACTCCTCCCTCTAAGCTCTCTCCCTCCTTCCCTCCTCCCTCTCTCCTCCCCTCTCTCCTCCTTCCCTTCCCTCCCTCCCTCCCTCCCTTCCCTTCCCCTCCTCCCTCCCCTCCATAACCCAAACCAAACCCATCTCCTGTAATTAACACTGTACCGAATATCTCCCATTCCCTTTCATTATGCCGTGGTGTTCGTTAATTAGGCCGCAATGTTCGCTATCTTTGTATAAGCTAAGTGCATTAACGCTCCTAACAGCTAACGAACCTGAAAGAGTTACCCCTCGCTCTTGTCTCGCCGTTTTCGTTTTCGCTTTTCTCTCTCTGCGTTTTTATTTTTTTTTGTTTTTTTTTTTATGGAAATCTCTGTTGCTTTGTTTTGATTCGCATTTTTTTTTTTTTTTTTTTTTTTTTTTTTTTTTTTTTTTTTTTTTTTTTACTTTTTAGGATTCGGTTACTGGTTTCTTGTTTCGTGAGCGTGTTTCTTGTCTTTTCTGTCTCTTTCTTTTTCTGTTCTGTTTTTCTCTCTCTCTCTCTCTCTCTCTCTCTCTCTCTCTCTCTCTCTCTCTCTCTCTCTCCTCTCCCTCTCTCTCTCCCTCTCCCTCTCCCTCTTCCTCTCTCTCCCTCTCCCTCTTTCCCCCCTCCTTTCCCCCATCCCTTTCCCTTCCCTCCTTTCCCCCCCTCCTTCTCCCTCTCCCTCTTCCCCTCCTTCTCCCCCTTCCCTCTCCATTCCGTCTTCTCCATCTCCTTCCTTCCTTCTTTTTTTCGTCTCCGCTTAAAACCAGCCCCAGATAAGTCCGTTTCGTCAAAGGCGCCGAATTCAGCTCCCTATTTTATCAGCCATTAAAGATAGACAATGAACAGACTCTGGGAAAAGGGTGTTTATCTCGCCTTTATGGGGACGCTTGCTCGCCTCTGCCTCTCTCTCTCTCTCTCTCTCTCTCTCTCTCTCTCTCTCTCTCTCTCTCTCTCTCTCTCTCTCTCTCTCTCTCTCTCTCTCTCTCTCTCTCTCTCTCTCTCTCTCTCTCTCTCTCTCTCTCTCTCTCTCTCTCTCTCCTCTCTCTCTCTCTCTCTCTCTCTCTCTCTCTCTCTCTCTCTCTCTCTCTCTCCTCCTGTGCCTCTTTCGCTTCTGTACTTTATCTCTCTTTTGCTTCGTCTCTTGTCTCTCGTTTTTCTTTTTTTTTTTTTCTTCCTCTGCTTTCTCTATTTTCTCTCATTTGCTTCTCTTTTATTTATTTTCTTCTCTTCTCTCTTCTCTCTTTCTCTCTTTCTCTTCTCTTTCTTGCTTTTCTCTTTCTCATTTTCTCATTTGCTTCTTTCTTTCTTTGCTTTCTCTCTTTCTCTCCCCTTTCTCTTTTTTCTCTCATTTACGTTTTCTCTCACTCTCTCTCTCTTCTTTCTCACATTTACTTTTTCCTGCCTCTCTCTCTCTCTTCTAATTTATTAGTTCTTTCTTTCTCTACTCTTCTTTTATTTATCCTTCTCTCTCTCCTTTCTCTCATTTACTCTCTTTCCCTTCTCTTCTTTCTCTCTTTACTTCCTCTCTCTTTTACTTATATACTTATCTCTCTAATTTCTGCCTCTTCCTCCATCTTTCTCCCTCCCTTCTTTCTTTCTCCTCCCTCCTCTTCCTCCCTTTCTTCTCATCCTTCTCTCCTTTCCTTTTTCTCCGTACCTTCTCTCTTCTCTTTTTTCTTCCCCTTCCTTCATCTTCCATTTATCATTTCCTCTTTTCTTCTCTCTCCCTTCCTCCTTCCACCTCCTTCCTCTTTCTTTCTTTCTCTCTCTCTCTCTCTCTCTCTCTCTCTC